AAAATTATTATTTTTGTGAACTATTAGTACTTAAGTATGTAAATTTTTTTCTCGCCTTCTGTCGATACATGTGGTCCTTCTCGAAACTTGTTTCAATGTTACCAGATGTTTTTCCCTTATTCCATACTAGCTTTATACTTCATAAGTGCTTTGCACCATATAAGGAAATTTATAAAGATCTTTTAACTAAAAGCAAGCAATCTAAAATAACATATTTTTTGCAAAAGGTAGAGCATGGATCTGAAGATAATGCAGAAAAATGCTCAGAGGATAAGGATATCTTGCCAAAAAGAAAATGCCCTCGGTTAATAGTGCTTAGTGATGACAAAGAAAACATTGTTTAATTTATATTAATATGTATCAGTTAAGAAAATTTTAATAAAGATATTTATCTTAATTATGAAAATATAATAGCATGTTTTTAACCTAACCCCCCTTTTCATACTAGTTCTTTGTTTCGTATAACATGGATTCACATAACACGGCAATTTTTTGGAACATAACTCCCGTGTTATATGGGGGTTACCCGTATATATATATATAGATGTTAGAAATGCCTATGGCCTATGATTCCATCTTATCAAGTATTCTTCTTCACTTTTTTCATGAATATGATATCAACCTAGTGATTCATTCATGGCCCAATAATTATTGATACTTTTTGCTATGAAAATGTAAAATTAAAATAGGCGATTTTGAATTTCTCAATTTTCGTTCTTTGTGTGTTCATCAAAAGATCTATTCTCAGTGGTCTTTTTTTTTCTCAATATATATTAACAATCTTTGCCATCTTAAATCTCACATTGTAGCTTATGTCAATGACATTAAATTGGTATGTTCTGATCCAAAGATCCTACAGCCTGATATTTAATTGCTAAAAAAAAAATCTATTTGAATCTGCTAATCTCAGGATTAATATACAAAAAACTGTTATGTATTGCTTTAATTCACAATCTCCTTTACCTATTAATACTTTTTCCATTAATGTCACTTCTGTTAATTATGTTACATTATTTAATGATCTGGAAATAATCTTTGATACTAAACTTATTTTTAAAAATCATATTGAGAACATAGTTAATATTCCACATCTAATAACCAGAGATTTATGGCAATTTTGTAAACCTATTTGACCTTTTTGAATACATAGAGTATACAGCAAGATCTTTAAATGAAAGGGTGTTGCGGTCGCGAACTACTTCTTGTCGCGAACTAAATAGTCAACATTTCTGTAAGGCGGTAAATTGCCCGGAGCGTTAGCCGATGAAGCTACTTCTGGACTAGCTGCCGAGACTACCAGTCGACCCTACGCTACGCTCCACGAACTGTGATACCGCTCGTCAAAAAAAAACATTGTAAGTTTGGAGTTAGAATTAATCTACTAGTTAATAAAAAGTGTCCTGTTTTTACGTTATAACATGTCGGTTGAGTTACTTTAATCGGTAAGTTGGGATCTACCCGACAAGGGTTAAGGAGCACAATTGTAGCATTTGTTATTAAAAAATATCTTATTCCTTATCTCTCACAGCTTTGAACAAGGAAATGGAGAGTATTATAGGATAAAGCAAAATTATTAGAAAAGGCCTACCTTAGTGAAAATATTGCTACAGTTAAAAAAATTACTGTTCAAGAATCCTGATAATTTGTAATGTAAAACATACTACATTATTTCTGAATGCTTGGAGCTAGCTTATATAAAAATATTTTGTAAAAATTTATTTTTACAAAAAATTTATACAGTGGTACTTTGGTATATGTCTGCTTTAGAATATGTCCAATTTGGAATACATCCCGTTTGGATGAAACAAATTTTGCTCGGTATATGACTTAATTCAATTATATGCGCCATCTATGAACAAGTAGCACTATCGGTGTACTAGACCAGACTAGACGTTTGCGGTGCCACAGTTTATAACTTTGTTAAATTTCTTCTGATTTTAATTTGTAAGTAAAATTTTATTATTTTTATTAATCACGAATCGCAAAAAAGGCAAATGAAAAGCGACAGAAAACTAAAAATATGACTAGAATTACAATGGAACTGATGAAAGAGATTGTTGAGAAATACAAAGGTGGCACACGTGTTCGAGATTTTAACTGTTGTTTACCGTATTCCGAGAATGACGATATGGACAATTGCAACAAATAAAGACATTATTAAATCTGCTAACGTTGCGAAATTAGTTAAATCAATTTCTTAACAGAGATCGAAGACATTAGATCATGTTGAGAAATTGCTTTTGCTTTGGATAACTGAAAAACAGTGTGCTGACGACAGCCTATCAGAAGCAATTATTTGCGAGAAAGCTAAAAAGATACATGTTGACCTCATGAAAAATCAAGCAGGAACTAGCCAAGAAAATGAGGTATTTAAAGCCAGCCATTTTTTTTTACATGAGAACGGATTAATCATTTTTACATTACTTCTTATGGGAAAGGTTGGTTCGGTATACGTCCTATTCAATACAAGTCCAAACACCAGGAACGGATTAAGGTCGTATACCGAGGTTCCACTGTATTTGGTTTCATTTATTTATTCAATTTTTCTGCTGAATTCTTGATTTCATTTTGTTCTATTTTTGTCATGATTTTTAACAACTGAAAAATTATTACTTTTGTTTTATATATTTAACAATGCACTGTTTCCATGACAAGAAAAAGAATCTTTGAGTTCCACCAATCATGCTGTTTGATGGAACTAAGATTCTTTTTCAAAAATACTTGAAGATGACTGATTAACTGAAAACATTTGTGCTTTTATTTATTCTGTTCATCTTTTACTTAATCTAAGTATTTATTCTCATTTAAATTTTAACAACTATTATATTATAATTCTAAATATAAACCAAACTCCAATACCTGAACTCCTTGTATCCAAATTCCTATTACAACAAATAAGGTTCTTTAGTATCAATTGCAATATCTGAATCAAATGTATTGAGTGTACTTCTGAAAAATTTGAAAATTTCACTAGTAAAAGTGGGAAAGCTTGCTCTGTTCAAAACATTTGTTTTAATTTGTTTCTGGTGGTATTGTATATGTTCTACTGCAAATTAACATGCAGTTTGCACTGAAATTTTGTGATAAAAATCATTAAACTTATATTATTTTTAATAATTCATTACATCATTTATTTATTTTCATTATTGCTTTGTTTTTATATAATAGGCCTACTATTTTAATATAAAATATATTATCTCATAATAACATTTTCATTGCTATCTATTTTGTATATAAATTGCATTTTCTTTAATATAAATCCTAATAGGGAAACTAAACAAACTTAGTAATACAATAAATATCAGAAATATATCCTTTAATGATGTCATCAAGTGTTTAAAAGCTCCAATAGCATTACTATCAATATCTAATATCACACTGAAAACATGAATTGATAGGTAAATAAATATTTTGCAGTGTTTTTATCTTATTTAGGAAAATTGGTTGGGGGGTTATTTGAATAGTCTGGAAATAAGTTGGAAGTATTTACCATTATTTCTTATACAAAAAATTCTAATATCCAAATTCCTGACATTTGAATCATTTTCAGGAATAAATTAGGTTCAGATAATGGAGTATGACTGCATTTATTAAATATTTTTATAAGAACTGTTTAGAAAGGATATTATTGTGTATTTTGATTAAAAAATATTATATCTTACCTGTTTTGCCTTCTGTTTGGCCACTCTACTTTGAACATATGTTTCAACCATATCCATACATGTTAATAAATTTTCTTGTGGCTCCCATGTGCTTTCTTTTACATGATATCCAGTCCATCGTACTTTATAATACATCTTTCCCTAAAAATAAATAAATTTTTTTAGCAAATTTACAACTCACATTACTGTATATAAAATGTGAAGAAGTTTAGAATATGTAAAAAACTGTATCATATCTTTGGCATTCCTTCTATTATATCTATTCAATATAAACTATATTTATTGGCAGCTTTCTACCTATCATAAAAAGAGCATTTATTCAAAACGACGACTGCATTATTTTGGGATTTGCAAGGCATTATTCTTGCTGAGTTTTTGGGTGGGTGTCACATAATCAACTGCAAAACCTATGTTACTTCAATTAGGAAGCTGAAGTGGGCCATCAGGAAGAAGAGACCACATGAAGATGTTCATTTTGTACAGCTCCATCACAATAATGCAAGACCACACACTTCATTATTCCCAACCCAGGTGATTGCCAAAATAGCACTGTCGTTGCTACCTCATCCACTGTAGAGCCCTGATTTGGTACTTTTGGCTTTCAATGTGTTCAGGCCAATGAAGGACAGCTTACATGGTTACAGATATGAAGTCTTGGAAGAAGTTAAATGAACTGTAAAGTCATGAGTCAGGAAACAAACTCCAGAATTTTTCCAAATTGGATTTGATACTTGGGTTCAATGATGATATAAATGTATTGAAAGTAAGAGTGACTATGTTGAACAGTAGCTTCATTTAGAGAAGACTTCAGGAGGTCTCCACATTTGGAAACCTCCTAAACCAAAAATGTCAAAAAAAATTCTGCATGCATGTGCATGTTGGTGTCTTTTGTTTAATAACTCAGGATGGAGTAGTGAAGAAGAAACAGAATTTGGCATGGTAGTTTGTGTACAAATCACATTGGTGCTATTAAATTTTGGTAGTTAAAGGTCAAGGGGGTGGGGAGATCAAGTGGTATCATATGTGATATCTAGAATGGAATCAGACTTAACGAAGATGTCATTCGTTATTGGTATTTACAATTTTTTATGAAACTCATCACTATCTTCAAAATTAATTATCACCAAATGGCAAATAGCTTAATATAAAAAATTTTTATAACAAAATTTGTTGAAAGCAGAGTCGATAGATATACTGGTCCTTGTGCTGTACTCTCAAGTTCGATTAATGACTCAGATTGCCGATACCTGGCGTGAGAATAGTGATTAGGCAAGTAGTAGTATTTGGTTAGTAGGTAGGTAGTTTTCCCATTTTCAAGCATTTTTCTAACATTTTTCTACTGTTCTGTCAAAAAATCTTATTCATAATTATATTTTTTAATTTTATATCATGTATATAGAAAGAAAAAGTGTATTTGGTTTATAAAAAAAATAAGATGATTTTAAATTACAGATAAGGATGTAGATAAATTGAAAATAGTTATATTTTCAAAGATAAATTGAAAATAGTTATATTTTCAATTTAATTTATCCCAATTTTAAATAGTTTTAACAGTTTTAAACAGATCTCTAATATCTCAAATACTATAGTAGAGATAACAGAGACTTATCACACTACTACTGGTAACATAAAAATGACATTTCTATCTTCTGTCATTTTAATGTTTCCAGTAGAACTGTGATAAGTCTGTTATAGCATTTGAGATATTAGTTTCAGCAATTTTCAAAGACAAGAAGCTCTTTTATAATGTTAAAAACTGTTATATTGCTACATATTGTGAATGAAAGTTTTGTACATAATGTTTTTGTATATCTATACTAATATTATAAAGAGGTAATGTTTGTATGTAAGTTTGTATGCAGCAGGTAATCTCTGAAACTACTCATCCGATTTCAAAAGTTCTTTCACCAATATTTAGAATGGAACTTCAGGGTGGACATAGGATGTATATTATTCCGTTAAACATTCATATAAATTAAAAGATATCATCTAGGTTAAGGCTTTTATGTCCAACAGATGGTATTGGTACAGATTGTATATTATTCTGTTAAACATTCATATAAATTAAAAGATATCATCTAGGTTAAGGCTTTTATGTCCAACAGATGGCGCTACGAGTACGACGCCCTAAGTTTGCTTTTCTGTGAGGCATTATGCTTTTCTGTGAAAATGAACTAAAGCAGATCATCTTCTATCTATTTATATAAATAAAAATGTAATGTTCCTTTGTTCCTACCGATTCCTTTGAAATTTTGACACAACACTGCATTCGAATATGCACGTGTTTTTATATAATATACGTGTCGAAATTCAACCCCGCTGAAGGGAGATGGTTAGGATTAAGGCTTACCGTGAAGAACTTGGCTTCTATTATACTATTTTAGATGCAGGCTTTTGCGTTTTTGATTGCGTTTTAATAGGGTACGTCAATAGAATGTACACTAAGAAGAAATTTTTCGATATTCCCCCCGCGGGGTAGAGAGATAGGATTAAGGCTTACCGTGAAGAACTTGGCTTCTATTATACTATTTTAGATGCGGGCTTTTGCGTTTTTGATTGCGTTTTAATAGGGTACATCAACAGAATGTATATTAAGAGAAATTTTTTGAAAAATTCCTCCCCCATGGGGGAAGTGTTATAAATTTATAATAGATACATTTTGAGCCACAACAACGTGTGGCGGGGTCTGCTAGTCTGTTTAATAAATAGGTAATGGTAAAATAAGTAAATAAATTTTCATTTTACTGTTTCGTTTTATTATATATGTATGACAATATAATTAGGAAAACTATAGCTTATCCTCATACATTTAAATAGCCTTAGAAATTAATTTGGATAAAAATAAATTATTTAAAAAATAGTTTGTCTTTAACACTACATAAAGTGTGCTATACAATATTACTTGATTTAGTATAGTGAGGAATAGTATTTGAAATGAAATAGTTTTGTATTTTTGACATGAGAAATTACATTTCTTATGGCACTCACATTGGCTCTATATATTTTGGTAATTTATATAATAATCTGCAATATTAAAAGTAAAATGTGAATGAAGATTTATTGATGGCCTACTACATCTGTCCTTTATTTATATAGGTTTAAAATATCAACAACATGTCTTTATTTTAATCATCACTATCACTGTCAATATCTAATAATACTATCTGAACTCTTGCATCTTACATTTACCTATTTTATTTGTCAACCTCTAACTGATTATCCTCTAATCATCTCTAAGTTATTATGTGTCTGTAAATATGTTAAATATGTTGTCTAAATAGTTGGAATTTCCTCTTTTTCCTCTAACAGCCTATATTTGAAATCCAAGAACTAAATCTACTGACTTTTAATCCCCTTCTCTAACCTGTTTCTAACTTTTTTCGCTTAACTTTAATCTCTCTCTATCTCATTAATAAACACAACATAAATTGTGAACAACATATATCGTAGATCTTTTCTCACTGCAAACTACAATAATTCACCTAATATTAATAAATAAATAAAAAGATATAGGCTTAACCTTGATACCCCAAAACCACCCTAAATCTCTTTTTTTTTTTTTTTTNTTTTTTTTTTTTATTTGGTAACACTTTAAATCTATCCTATCTTAACATATGGTTTAACATTTCTATACATTTCCATAATTAAATGTATATAATTCTCATCATTCCCTTTTCTTCCTGATTCAGAGAGTTATTGGGAATCCCGAAGACATCCAACATTAATAATGTATTGAGGAGGCTACTGAGTCATACCTCTTGAGAAGATTGGTGGAATCGTTCCCCAATTACATCCGTGAGTAGTGTCATCCTCATCGTACCAGAGGAATGATACTGAACAGCGAAAGAGTCCAACGGTTGATGTCACAAGTTCCTTTTACAGAAATATATACAAGGGTTACAATTATATCGACCATGGAAAGAATGTTCGGAGCTTGCAGTGAGGTGAAAGTCCAAACAGGAGTATATCGAACCACTGCAACACCCCCCTCCTAGTGTAAACAATATCGTGTGGTTAAGGAAAATGTGCCAGAAATCGGACATGTCTTCCTGAGTGCATTGTGATCTTGGTCTCAGTTTCTTGTTTCGAGTGCATCGTGCCTGGTGACTTAGGGTCATGTATGTCTATTGAACGAGAAACTTATCCTGTGTCTGTCTCTTGGTTGTCATTCATTCACTTTGGGAAAGTTTTTCTACTGAAGTGTAAGCCAGTTTAAGTCTATCGATAGAGATAACTGTCTCTTTCTGGCATATGTGGACTTTGAAAAACTGTCTGTCCACTGCAGTACAGGAAAGGGTCCATCATATGGTGGCTGCAGCGATGGCCATACAGTGTGGTGCCACACAAAAATGTGAGTGCAGCATTGTAGGTCCTGAGGGACGAATATTTTCTTTGCACCATGGCATCTTGTTGGCATTGGTGTTAGTTGATGCATTAGTTCTTTGAGCTGTTGGACAAAAGCTGCTGAGTTTGAGTCTGGTGGTGTAGGGGTGAGGAAATTGCCATGTAGCTGTAAAGTCATTCTGTAGATGAGTTCGGTGGTTGTTGCTTTGATGTCCTCTTTAAATGCGGCTCGCATCCCTAGCAGCACTGACGGTAGAACCTCTGTCCAACATTTGGTCAAGCAAGCCTTGAGAACCTATTTGAGTCTGCAGTGGATGTTCTCTACCAGGCCGTTTGCCATTGGATGAAAAGCTGTAGTGTGGATATGGCTACTGCCCAATAGTTTGGTTAAGACTCAGAATAGGTGCGTTTCGAATTGCCTACCCTGATCAGTAGTGACCATTTTCAGTACACTATAACGTGCAACCCACTGACCGTAAAAAAATCTTTGCAACAGTCTCTGCGGTACAGTCAGCAATCGGAAAAGCCTCCACCCAATGGGTGAACCTATCGATGAGCTTGAGACAATACGTGCTACCTTGCGAAGGTGGAAGGGGACCTACAATGTTCACATGGATGTGTTCAAAACAAGTATCAGGGACCTGAAGGTTTTGCACAGGGCTCCAAGTGTGCCTATGAATTTTCGCTTATGGTATGCAGGTTTTGGCCCACATACGGGAGTCTTTTCTGATGGAAGGCCAAACAAAACAGCTGGTTAATAATTTTGTGGTAGCTCCTATCCCAGGATGAGAGAAATT